TGCACAATTACTGAGTTGATAGAATTGTTCTTCACAGGTGACAATGTCTCGAGGCCCAAGTCAATGAGAGCTCCCCTTTTACATGTTTTGCCCTCACAGGAGATCACTGCATTTTTCTCTATTCCACTTGATGAGCTGGGGAATGACCCTGTAACTGGCCCCTTCCCTCCCTCCAGGTGCATTTAACTTCTTTGCTCGTGTGTTCACCTATATAATTGAAATTTCTTACCTTTTCTGGAAAAAATGATTTGCTCTAACCTCCTGTTGCTGAGGGACCTGATAACTGAGCCAGAGGTAATGACAGATGACCTGCTGAGTAGGTCTTCCAATCTGCACACCATCTAAGAGGAAATGATACCTACTCTGAGTTAACAAGGCTAAGCATAGTGTTGCCCTCAGACCATAGCATCTTCAGGGCAGAATCTTGATACATCTCCTCCCTGTCTGTTCTAAAGTGATTCTTCATCACCTGTATAGCAAGTTGCAGGGTACTGAGCTGTACACACAGAGTGGGAGGTCTCTGAGCATGCTAGCCAACCTTTTAACCCGTTATGGAGGTGAATTGTTCAAAGCTAGGTGGCTTTAAGAAAAGTCCAGGGAATTTGTATGGTTGGAACTTGCTCAGATTTGCTTGTAAGCCTCAGGATAGGAGTTTCGAATCATATAATGAAGCACTAAAAACTTTAGTTGAAAAATGGGACCTCTGGTTAATAAAATATTTTCACATATATGGACATTTAATTTTCAGCAATTAAACAATCAAAATAACACACAGATATGCCAAATAAAACTTATTTTTTTGATCCAGAAGGTATTGCCAGATCCTGCAATACTTTAGGGTCATCAGTAATGAACCGCAAATGCTGTTCTGTACAATTGAGAAGTACCATACCATGTGTTGTAGGTGAAAAGAGTGCCACGAGACAAGCATTTCTGGTAGATGAGGACCAGATAAACAGCTGTCTCCTGTTTTGACATGTCATTCTTCACTCTGGCCACTGTTCTTGGGCTTCATTATAGGAGTTTTCTGAGATCTTGAGAAATCACCTTGATTAAGCTGACTTTCCTTCAGGGAAATGAGTATTCAGAAACTAGAAAGGGCAATGAGGTACTCATCTTAGAGTTATTTGGGGGATATATTGGGAAACCCTCATATCTCAAGCATATAGAGGGAACATGTTTATGTCCATAAGCGTATATGCACTGCTATTGTGCCCATTAAGAAGAGAGGGGAGTAAGTGAAGTAGAAGTTAATCAGATCTTTTCCAATGGTGAACAGCAGCAGTGCCATGGTTGTTGTGTCTGCTGTGAACAGGCAGACAGCTGCTAACACATACTCAGAAACCCCCTCTCTCCTCTCTACCCTGCACCTCTTTGCAATCTGATTCTGTAATGACTATCAGTGAAAAAACCCCAATTTGATGCTCACCTGGTAAAAATGAGTTTGACTATTTCATCGTGGTTGACAGACCTTTGTCTTAAGACATACAGTGATTCAGATTCTTTAAAACTCTTTTAACGTTTATACCAAAGGTCATGCTCTGCAGGCGTATGTGTGGTGCACAGAGGGTGAGAGTTGGAGGATCCGGTGCTGGTGCACAACTGGGGACACAGTGAGACAATATGGGATTTAACTGAAAACACATCAATCACAGGTCACACTACCAGTGTTGTCAGGTATTTGTTCTAATTGTTATTGTAATATATTTTCAGTTGTTTTGTTTTTCTAATTTAAATCTCTCACTCTGTTGTCTGACTGTGAACTGCTAACAGTGTTAAACTTAATGTAAATAAATGAGGCCCTTGAAAGGGACTGCTGTCTGCCTGTCGTCTCATAAGGTTTGCCAACTTGTGTTTTGTTTTAAATAAAGGTTGCAATATTTTATTGGCAAAGTAGGCTTAAGATTGGAATGTTTCTCCCCTAATTTTAACTGAAAGGGAATCTAAGCAGAGCTCTCTCTCTCTGCATAAAATGGATGTTTAGAGGGTAAAGAGTGGATTTTAGAAGCATCCCTCTGGCACAGTCTCTAGTAGGACCTCTATGGGGTGAGTACTCATCCTTTGATGGATTCTATTTTTGGGGAGTGGCCAAAAGGTACTATCAGGAGCCCAGATTGGTGCATAAGGTGGATAGTGTGGATGTGTGTGTGTCTGTCCAACATGAGGCGACTATTCTGCGGACAACTCTACATAAGTTCTGAAGATGTTTTGAGCCAAAGTAAAATTAACAGAGTAAGTATAGAACCTCACAAAGGAACATTCTATTCTTTCTTGACATAGTCTTCAGTGTATTTAAAAATGAGTCATTGCTTTTAGAAGCAACCTTAACTAGGTACGAATAGAATATGCATAATGACACACGTGGGCCCAGTTTGAACAGCTATTGAATATAACTTTATACACCTCCTCATTTCATCTTCAGTCCTTTTTTCCCCCTCATTTTTGGTTTAGGAAGCCTTGTTTTTAGGATCTTCCTAGAAGAATCCCACATTTTGATCTTTTCCCTCTTTGTAGTCTGAATATTTTCCACACCTGAGGATGCGGTTTTTGCTGACGAAACCAGTCATAGGAACAAAGAAGTCATTAAAATGCAGTGTGGTTGGAAGCTCAGGAGCTGGATTCCGACTGCCTGGCTTGAATCCCCACCCCTCCTACTGACCAGCTTTGTGAGGAAATTGGTGCCTGTTACAATGTTATCGATTACAAAGACAACAACTATAAATTGCTTAGCACAGTCCATGGCACATGGTAAGTTCTCAAATGTTAGATGTCTCTGACTAGTTGGGAGCCTTAAAACAACCAGGGTTCCAAGAACTAGACATGGAAGAAAGTCCCAGCCTTGGCTTTGAGTATGATGCCAAAGCTGACAGTAGTTAGATTTTTATGTTATTATTCTTAAATACTTAAATCACCATGTCTTAAGCTCTTTCTAAAGATTATTCATTTCATCCTCACAACCCTAGGTAGGTACAATTGTGCCCATTTTTATTAAAGTGGAAATGAAGGTTAAACTGAGCTGAGCTTTCCCATGGTCTCACTGTAGTAAGTGGTGGAACCATGATTCCATTCAGGAGGTCTGGCTGTAGAAAATGTGCTCAGAACCACAATGTTCCGCTGCCTGTCTTAGTTTCCAAGGTAAGAGGTTCAGGTCCTATATGTATGACATCAAATATGGCTACTGCTTTCCTACTCACTGCCGTCCAGTCGATTCCACTCATAAAGACCCTCCTTGGGTTTCCGAGGCAGTATCACTACAGAAGTAGATTGCCCAATCTTCCTTCCAAGGAGTGCTGGTGGGTTTGAACTGCCAGCCTTCTGGTTAGCAGTCATGTGCCTTAGGCACTATGCCACCAGAGCCCCCGAGCATGGCTAGCCAGTGGTAAAAGAATGTCAACTATTGTGTATCCGTTTTAAAGTGTGCGTTACAGAGTTTAGATCCAGGTGTGTAATAGGATCGGGTAGCCTGCATAGTCTTCCATGATGCTTTAGACTGAGACAGTGAGCCAGCAGCCAAAACAAGACCCTGTTACTGTGCAGTTAGGCCGTGTTTACATTTGTCCCTTGAGTGGTGTGAAACTAAGTTCCTTTAATTCATTTATTTGAATATTTAATGAGTGCCTAATACAGTTGGGGCTAGATACTCCCTAACTTGGGGCAGTTATTGGAGTACATGAACACAATAAAGTGTTACATGGGGGAGAGACAGCAGTGTTCCATTTTACAAGGGCCAAAGGTGAAAGAGGAGAGCACTGGTTAAGTGCTCGGGTGCTAACTGAAAGGTCAGCAGTTTGAACCCACTAGCAGCTCTGTGTGGGAAAGATGTGGCAGTGTGCTTCTGTAGGACTTGGACACCCTACTTCTAGGGCAGTTTTTCTGTGTCCTGTAGGATCACTGTGCATCAGAATCGACTCATTGGCACTGGGTGGGAAAGGTGAGAGAGTCAGTGAAGGCTTTAAAGAGGGACACGTGAGATGACCAATATAAGGGAAGACGTGTGTGTTACGCCAGAACGAGGGTAGAGAGGAAGAACAGAGAGAAGGGCAAGAACACTTAGTGAGCACTTCCTATGTGCCTGGGCACAATGCTGATGCTTTACACATTACCATTTAATCTTACTCATATATATATAAGACTAATAGGCTGTGGAAGCCTCTTTCAATAAGAGGTTGTAACTTGGCTGAGCTGGTATGGTCTCAAAGCAAAGTGAAATAAATTGGCAGACCAGTCAGTTACCTTGTCAACTCTGAGTGCCAACATCCACCCCTTGTCACCACCAATCCCCATCAGTAGTACCTGGTATTTGAAATATTGCTGAGTGAGCATGGTTAGTAGGCAAGAAAGTAAGCCAAAGGATTTAGAAAAATACAAAATTTTAATCTTGAAAGTCATTTCTAGACCCCTAATTTAAAATAAAATTCTTTTTAAAAAAAACTCTGCAAGCAGAACAAGCCTTAATTATGACTTCAGGGGGAAAAAAAAAAAATCCTGTGCACCTTTTCCCTTAGCCTAAAACTCTTTGCTGATCTTATCCTCAAAGGCAGGAGCTGTTCAGCTTTCCTTTGAGAATAACAACTTGAAAGCTAACTCATCCCAGTCTGCAGACTGAGGTACTCCCTGTCCCTAGGTCAGCAGGACTTCATTCTTCCCTTCTCTGTAACTGGAAGATCTGCAGCCTCTCAGACCCAACTCTGAGCATCTGCATGAAAGAGCTGAGATGCTAAGGAGACCATTCATAGAGTCATAAAAGCCTTTGGGTTTTGTCTGTCTCCCACATGACTTTCTTCAGCCACCTGGCCCACATTTTAGAATGTGGGTCTTTAAGGCACCAAGTGATTTTAGGAATTGGCTCTGGTTCTACCTTTTACACACCAGTTGTGTGTTAGTGATTGTTGGATGCCACCCTGCCCTTCCTACCCCTTACAGTCCCAGACCATGCTGTGATAGGTCCCAGGGTCCCATGAGTAGACGGAAGCCAGCTTTAGGAAGTCATCTTCTAGCTCTCAAGGCAGGAAGTAGTTAATTCTCTGGGAAATAGATTTGCAGCCCTGAGAAGAGAAGAGTTGTTCCTCCTTGGGGACATACACCATCATCTTGGCAATTTCTTCCAGTGCCTCTTCTGTATACAGCAGCTCCTGACTCAGAAAAGCGTCACGTGCACACAACCTCACGTGACGGTACTCCAGTGGCAGGAAGGGGATGAAGAAGTCAATCAGGTTCTCCTTCACAAGACGGCTGTGGCCAAAGCCACTCTCTGAAATCAAGAGTTAAAGTTACATGCGGTCTGATCTTGTGGGCCAAGGCTAGCTGAGTTTTAAGGTGTCCCAGACCTAATGCCTGGGCAGGGTTCAATCTCATATGCCAACTCTGGCAGAGGTGTTTGAGGTATGTCTACAAGAGCTATGCTTAGCTATGTCTCCTTTGAGGGAAGGAGTGCCCTGATAACTCTCAGTCTACACCACAAGTGAAGAGGGAGCATGGTGACATGATTGCCAGGTTTAAGGTTTGGGTTGATGGTAGTGGAAGGTAGAGTGATCCTACCTCTGACTGGAGGCTGAAGAAATGAGGTTCTCTATGTGAGAATCCTCCTAATAGGCTTCCGAGCCCATTGCCTGTACTTCCAGGGCCAATGCAAACTACTGTCTTTAAAACGTTTTCAGAAAAGGAGATCAGGGCTTCTTGGAAAAGCCAAGCCTGGGCAACAAACTCTGTACCTACTCAAAGCTGACAGTGTGAGGTAACTGTGCAGGATGTCCTCTGTGGTACCATCTACTTCATAAACACACGTTCTAACACACACACATTACTCCAACTATGACTTTCAACAGAGCCTTCATTTCTGCTTGGCTGGGAATCAGGTACCTGTGGACGCCATAATCTCAGCCTGGAGGAGTGGCTCCAAGTGTTCCATTGTAATTTCTTCCCGGGACTGTCCAGCCTTCAGCAAATTCAGGACCGCCTCATTGATGATATTGCCCCCAAGGTTACTGAAAGAGATACAAGAGCCTGTTAACAAGTTTTGTTCTTTTTATATTTAGCTACCAAATGGGTTATTTGGCCACTGTAGCCAATGCAGTAGTGCCTGGAGGAATGAAGGTTCAGGGGCCTGGGCCTCCCCCAGGAGATAATTATCACAGCTTAGAAGTCTGCACAGAAAGGATGTTGTCCTGCTTTGCACCCATCCTTCATCTCCACTTCTTTTGACAAACACTTACTGAGATGGGTAAGACGTAGTTCTTCCTCTTGACTTAAGTGTGGTAAGAGAGGTATTCACGTATATGATTCCAAGACAGTGTGGCAAGCACTAATGTAGGAACAATGAAGGCCTAGGGAGGAGGCTTCAGAGGGAGAGTAAGGCTTCTGAGCAGATGCAGATATTGTAGTGCTTGTCAGACATGAAACAGGGAAGGGTGTGCATCCTTTCCCTGCATCAGAGGGCCTGTGGGTACAAGGTTGCTTGGAGTGGCTGGAGGAGATAGGAATGAGGGGTAGACTGAAGCTAGGGTGAGGAGGCCTTTGCCACACATTTGGATTTTTAGCTTATGGACTATGGGGAACCATCGAAGGGTTTGAGTTTGGGAGTATGGGGCTTTGAGTCACCTGAGCAGCTTTATTTCCTAAGAAGATCATCGGCAACAGGTTCGGTGGAAGATGGATGGGATGAGTGCAGAAAGCTAGGGGGCTTCTTGCAATGATCCATGTTTAGAGGTTATGAAGAAAATGGAGAGAAGAAGGACTGAAGAAATAAGCTTGAGAGGCACAATTGATAGGACTCTAACTGATGGGTGTAAGAAGTGAGGGACAGGAGGACATCAAAGAAAACAGGCATCTGCCTTGGGCTGCCTCCCACTCACCTCCCCTACCTCTAGCCCCCACCTTAACCCCGCCCCACTTAACAGAAATGGAATATAGGAAAAGGGTGGAGATGAAAGTCTGGCTTTACACATTTGAGTGCTTTCCCTTGCCTGTGATCTCTCTAGGGGTTGTGATATCATTGATCAAAAAAAAAAAAAAAAAACCTACAGCCACTTGAGTCATCCATATAGGACAGAGCAGAACTGCCCCATAGGGTTTCCAAGGCTGTAAATCTTTACGGAAACAGACTGCCACATTTCTGCCACGAAACAGCTGGTGGGTCCGAACCACAACCTTTTGGTTAGCAGCTGAATGCTTTAACTGTTACACCACCAGAGCTCCTTGTAGTATCCTTAGGCAACTGGAATTATGGGTCTGCAGCACAGGAAAGAGGACTAGGTTAGAGATACGAAAAAGGATATGGAGGGAAGATGAATTATTAGAGCTGCGAACAGAGATAGTGGAGACTGGAGCCAAGAGCACTCTTGCTCTTGACCCTCCCCAGACCTGTGCGTCCTTCCCTCCCACCACACTGCTCTCAGGTCCCATCACTAGGCTGCAGAAGGAAGCAGAATGGTAAGCAGCAAGTTAAGGAGTTGGGGTCTAAGATGTCCATTTCTTTGTCTCCTTACAGAAGCTTTGAATGTCTCTCTGACACCCTCATTTGTTATTAACTTTTATTTGTTTATTCATTCAGCATTTTTATGCATCCTGTGTGCTGGCTCCATGCTAGGCTCTTAGGGTACCAAGGAAGAACTATGTGGGTTCCTTTCCTGCCTGACTCCAATGACAGGTAAAGAGGGGTGGTGGTGGGGGGTAGGCATCTTCCCTGATAGGCAGTTAAGCTGTGACTACAAAGTTGTCTAGCCAAGTGATCCAATGCCTCCTTCCTGGAGGGACCAGAATGCCCCTTACAGCCATCATTTACCTAGGGCCATGAGCCCCTGGCTGGAGGAGCCTTGGCAGGGACAAGAGCAGTCCCCACTCTTTGCTCAAGTTCAGCTACTCAGCGACTGGGAGCTTAAAAGCTAGCAAGCCGCCATCTAGATGCAACGATGGGTCTCTCTTCATCCAGAGCAAAGAAGAATGAAGAAAATCAAAATTCATGGAAACAATTAGTCCTAGCAACTGGTACACCATCTGATCTGCAGCCTATACAAGTATGAGACCAGAAGAACTAAATGGTGCCTGGCTACCACTGTCATCCACGTGGAAGGGGATCTATCTAGGAGATCCTGGATAGAGAGGGAGAACAATGTGGAACAAAACTCAAAATCATTTGGAGAAAAAAAAGGTGGGGGGAACGTTTGCTGGTCCGATAGAGCTTGGTGGAACTGCTGAGACTATAACCCCTAGCTGCCCTTCAGGTCTGGAATTCAACCCACACCTGTGGTTTCCAGCCAAACAAAAGACAGGCATATGAGTTGAACATTTACCTCAGGTAGATACACTCCTTGGAGAGAACAATCATAGGAGAAAGAAGGGC